GGGGGGGGGTGACGACACGGCGGAAATTCCTGTCTTTATTGACACTAAATGTAAAAAATGTAAAAAGTGGGGAGGGGGGGCAAACTCTGTGATAGTTTTTCCCTGTAACAGTAATTTAAAAAGTGGTAACCATTGTGCAAGAAGTTGAAAAGTACTTGCCTTTCTGCAAGTCTGGGTGGGTGGCTTCCACGGGGGACAGCTCTTTTTCCCAAGGCGAAGACACGGTTGTTGTTGAGGGGTGTTCACGAGGGGGCTGAATCCTGTAATACTCTCCTAAACACAGCCCAGGAGGGAAAAAAAAAAACAACCCAACAATGTTCACTCTCTTGTCAGAACTGCTGTTTAGTCAAGAGTGACTAAGTTTGTATTTACCAGATTTATAGCATATTTCCTTTATTGCCCTTTCCTCTTCGATCTCTTCAGCAGTCTTGGGCACCCAGTCAGGAACATCTGTAGGAAATATTTTCCAAGGGTTACTAGAGAGCTCTACAAAGATCTTTGGCAATTGGTAATAACCAGCCACCATAAGGAATTTCACTTTGGTCAGAGCCCTTCTTTTTTTCTGACTGCAAGCTCTGCTTCTGGCCAGAAAATGGATTCCTTGCTATGAGGTATTTGCAAGCACAGTGGACTTGCTGTCACGACACATATTAAGAAGCAAGTGTTAGTGGATGTAAACTGATTTAAAGCCATCTTCAGTACTCATGATCCTTCTTTTCCCCCCCCAAAGGAAATGTTGTGATGGAACATGTCAGCAGGGAGTGCTTGTCAGAAACCCTCTGCGCAGAGTTCCTCTCCTGCAGTGTCTGCCAGCGGAGCTGGCGAAGGGCGTGCTCCTTGGCTGTCTCAGGTAAGGCTGCTAAAATGAGCAAAGCCCTGCTTCTTGTATTGTTGAGGTTCCTGTGGCTTCCTGGGAGTGAAAGCGAGTTAGGAAGCATGAGCAGGCAGCCCTGCCAGCCAGCCTGAAGGTCAGGGGAAAGTGAAGAGCAGCTTGGGGCTGCCTGAGAAGGAGCACAGCGGTTTGCGGAGTGCGCACCTGAGAGTAGGTCGCGCTCCCGCCCTCCGGGAGCGTGAAATTCGTCCCTTCCCTGTGAATCTGGCATCTCTGAGTGAGATACCTCCAAGAGTTTAACTACATTGTAAAACCAGAAAAACTAAATCTCTCTCTGTCTGTATAGAAACATAGACACAGACATTCAGTTTCGGTGGAGAGTGTTGTATGGATTCTCTTTGCTGGATTTAAGGATAACTTTCTGCGATAACATGAGACTGCCTACAGAGTTGAGGAAAGCAGTTGAAGGAATTATTTAAGTGGAAGTCAGAGCACTGTCTTTGGTGAACAAACCTGTGAGTTCAGCTCTATTTAATGGGTAAAAGAGGAATTATCCCGCTGTTGAACTGTACAGCCATGCATTTCCCAGGAGTTGGGGAATGTTGCCTCGCTCCCACCTGGTGACTACCGGTTCCAATAACTTGGGGATTAGCTGGAAACTATTTGAAAAACCTGTCAAAAACTCCTTTCTACCATTGTAATGGTTATTCAAATAAATGAGCTGGGAGGTGTCAAACACACGCACACACCCACACACCCTCCATTCTACTTCCTTGTAAAAGAAAGAAAAAACTTGTTTACAGTTCTCCTCCTCTTCCTCATCATCTTCGTCGTCCTGGAGGTTTATGATGAGCGGTGGGTGAATTGGCAGTCGAGTGTTGTGTTGATTTCTGTGGGGTTGCTGATGAGGGCCTGGATGCAGAATCCCTTGGTGGGCAGCCTGTTGTAGTGGGGCATCTGCAGAAAAGAACATGGTGTTTCTTTTGTTAGGAGGGAACTAGAATATCAAATGAGGGTTGAGAGCATCAGGTACAGTTCTGAAACCCTTCTGACACTGAAGGCCTCATTACACAGAGAGGTTGTGCCTTCTAGGGAAAAGCCTTCTGCGGAGGTTGGCAAAAGAGCATCATCCAGCTGCAGAAAGCCGGGAAAAAGACAGGTGCCGGCTCCTGCGAACGGAGAGATGAGGCCCTGCTGAATGAAGGCTTTTGAGAAGAGGAACGTTTGGATCATTCTGCAGTCTCTGAGAAAGGCTGGGTATCTCTTCCAGCTGGGGGAGAGATGAATTTCAGCCAGTAACCTTCTTTCTTCCGGTGCCTTTGCAGTTATTGACAACCCAGGGAACCCTGTGATTAGTGGCACCCGGGCTGCAGGGAGTCAGTGAGTTTAGGACCCCACCTGTGAGAATATTTGAAACAGGCTGAAGAACAGGCAGGCCTGCCTCCCTGCCCGTGGCATCAGTTCTGAAGCATTTAGCAGCGCTAAGCACAGGTTTACCCATTTGTAGCTTGGAGACCTTTCCTTTCTATCAGGATTTTCTGAATCACACGTCTCTTTCCTGAGTACAACGTGTTGATTTTGAGAAAGACCATGAGGTTCCTGAAGGTAATTTACACTGAATCAGAGGAAACTCATCAAAGATACTCTTTTCCTTAGAAATGTGTATGTACCCGTGATGTTGGCAGCAGCATGTGGGTGAGATGCAACCCATTTTCCTAAGACTCCTGCAGATCAGATTGGTTGTATCTCATGCAAGAGAAAGTAAGATAGAGCACTTTGACTTGATAGAGCCTTTGTGGGTGTCCAGGCTAGGGTATTACTAGCTCCGGGGACTGTAAGGCAAATCCAACTTGGCTGAGTTGAAGGAGATTACAGGAGCACAGGGCACTTGCTTCTGACTGGAGGTCTTTCTGGGCTTCTCTTCTGACACCTGTCTCCAGCTCTGGAGAGGAGGCCCCAGAACAAGTCTCTGTCCCAGGTTCCAGCTGCCTACCAGGACTGCCGGTAGGCAAGAGCTCCTCTTAGAAGAGACCGAGGGAAAAAGACAGCAACTTGTGAGGGTGGTTTTTTCCATCACTACTCTGATGACATTGGTACTGCCTTGCAAACTGTGACTGTATTTCAGTAGCCCGCATCCAGTGTTCAAGCCTGAAAAATGTTTTCAGAGCGCTGAACTGGACATCCGTCTGCACACAGAGGACTGTCATCTGACGTTACCTATACAAGAGGTGTCTCATCCGTGTAACGTGTTGTTCTCCATCAACAGCTATTGCTACTGGTGGCCCTGCCAACCTCCCCCCCGCCACACACGCTGCTTTTCATTTCTTTCAAACGATTACCTGCCTACTGGCCATTTTTACTGCTGGAGAGATTTCATCTAGCCAATGCACCAGTAAAGCAACACTTTTACTGTGTGGATCTCAGCAACTTAAAGTGCCACTTCACCTTTCACGTAACTGGCAGCTACAAAGATTCGTAACGTGGCAGCTAAAAAATCCAATGTGGCAACCTTATTCAAACGCCAGGGCAATTCCCTGCCTTGCCTTGGCCTTGCTGCGATAGCAGATCTTACCTGACTGATTTGCCAGGGTGCATTTCTTGACCTTACTCTAGGTTATGGAAGCACTGGAAGGACATTTTTGTGTATTTCCTTTGTCGAGTGAACAAATGGTTGGTAAGGTATTTTTACTCACTGTTAGTGGGTGGCAAAAAAAGTCCATTGATATATTGAGGTTTGCTGTGATGGAAAGTACAGCTGATCCTCAGGCAGCCTCGGGGTTGTTTTTCCCAGAAACAGGAGATGTTGTGGTACTTGCGCTGCAGGAGAAAAGAGTTTTCAGGGGTTGTAAATGGAACAGTAAAAATGGCCTAAATGGTTTAGTACATGGTGTACTGAGCTTCGTCCCAGCTGAGAGCTAGAAATGCCAGGTTGAGGGTTAATTCTGAATGAGTTTCTGTGTCGTTTTTTGAAGGAAAGCAAAGTCCCACTTGAAGATCCTTGTGTATTTGAAGGTAAGTTTCACTCGGGTGCAGATATTAACAGCTGGGTCTAGGAGCAGCATCTCCAAAAGCGGCCACTTTTGGACTGTAGCCAGCACAAGCAGGCCATGCCCTGAGACAGTCAGGGGCCAAAGCCCATCTCCCAGGCCCTACACCCACCCTTGGGTTTTTACTCGGTGGAATAGAACAGTATGTCTTTGGAGGACGGACCCGTTTTGAAGGTCTTTCTTTTAAGGAAGTGACTTTACGGGGATCCAGGCAGTTGCTGTGAGCAGAAGCTATAAACATGCCATTTTTTTTCGGAATCAGCACCATGTCACTTGGTTAAGAAAGCGCTGGGTGATCTTTATGCACGATTTTTAATTTTTACGTCTTCCTTGAGTATCTGAACCCAGCTCACAGGAGAAATTGTCTGTAGTTTAGGTTATCTTAGCTCTTAGCACTTGCAAAAATCAGCAGTTTGATCTACAGGTGCTGCCACGACCCAGAGAGAGGGCCATACCCACTTCAGACTTGAGATAGTAAGGCTCCCTTTCAGCACGGTCTATCACGAGAATTAAGGTTACAAAGCCCTGTAAAATCTACAGCATTTACCTGTGCGTAGGGGGGATGAAAGCGGAAGTAGGGGTCATTCCCACGTGCGCCCATTTTCACCTCTTGGGCTGCTTCTCCTCTGTGCTACTAACGGCAGGCAACCTTATCCTGAAAGCAGTAATTCCTCTCAAAAACTGGACCTTTGAAAGCTGGTCTCTGCTTCTTTTTTGAAACAGAAACTCCAGCCAGCAGTGAAAGAGGCTTGAAGGGAGGAGGTGGTACCTTCTGCAGTCTTGTTGAACCAGCCAAGGCAGTTGCTAGGGGCTTTAGAATGTTATCCTCCAGCGGTTGCCAAGGGCACCTCCAGCGCATGCCATCAACAACATGGCGCTCTGTAACCTGTCCAGCTTGAACCCCTTCCTTTTTCTCCCTTGCTCCCCAGTAAAGTTGGGAAAATCGGAGCCTTTCAGAGAGTCTCCCGTTCAGGTGTTTCTTTAACGTCAAAGGGAACAAACCCTTTTGGCGGGGCTTAAATAGTGCCCAACTTCTTGCCGTAGGAACTCAGTGTCTTGGAAATAAATCTTTGATACCACAAAGTATTATTATATGTATTCTTTGTCTCTTTTGTTAACCCAAATCCTTGCACCCAGTGTTTCTCTTGCTCTCCGTCCCTCTCTCTTTGGATTGAGAATGTTGCTGTTCCCTGTTAGTACAGGGTTAGCTGTTAGCTGCTTCCACTGTTGGGGTGCAGAGCGGCTTCTTGCTTCTGCGATGTCCACTGGCAGGGCTAAAGCAGAAACAAGAGCGTACACCTGTGTCCCTAACGAACACCCGTGGTCCTGTTCAGGTTCTAGGCTGCCCCCGCACCAAAAGTAGCGAGGGGGGGGAAATGGAGTTTTCGCATGGGAACAGGGTGAGGCATCCTGTTCTCCTCAGGCCGTGGGGTCCCATTTACCCCAGTGACTGCCATCCGTGACTGGGAGATGAACGCTTGAGAGCGCTGTTAGGGCGAAACCTGGGAACTTAGGAGTAAGAAGTCAAAGCAAGGGCAGAAAGGGAAAGGCTCCACAGCCTCCAAAGAGAGGTTAAAGAGTAATAGGATAGAGATGGAGCCCAAGAGAAGGGAGGGAGATAACAGGCAGAATTCAAGACAGAGACTAGTGGTTCATAGCACAGAAGGAAAATTTGGGAAAGCAGGTGATGGCCATGAACGATGAACTGTCAGTGGGCAGCAGCAGGCACAGGCAGGATGTGTTAATCCTGCCAAGAGCTTTCCACACAGGGGCTCTTTGTAGCTGGACAGCTGTGCCTGAAGGAGGCACAGAAGAAGGTACGGTCAGGAAGAATGAACTGTGTATGGTGTTTGCGTGACATGGTTTTGGTAGCGGAGGGGCTACAGGGGTAGCTTCTATGAGAAGGGGCCAGAAGCTTCCCCCGTGTCCGGCAGAGACAATGGCAGGCAGCTCCAAGATGCTCAGTGGAGACTGAATTAATGCTCGTTAATGTGAATTATGACAGGCTAATGAGTTATTGCATTACTGAAATTAAAATTCAGTTGGGTGCTGTTAGATGTTTAGTAGCACACTGAAGCTATTCCAAGTAGCCCTTCAAGATTACTTTTGTGGGAGGGAAAGGGGCAGAAAATCAAGGCAAATGGCCCTGTGCAAAATGAACCTGGAGCCAAGTGACTGATTTCAAAGCCTGCTGTGAATTGGTGGCTGAGGAAGGTGGGAGAAGTGCCACCCCTTCTCATGGGAAGCTGCCTTCATCCTCCAGTCTCTCCTCTCTTAATGGCCCTTATTCTCCAGCCTTTGTGATATCCTGGTTTCAGCGGGGAGCTTTCCCTGCTTGACTTGCTGCGTTACCTCATGCTACAAGGATATCTTCTTTGCGGTTGTTTGCTGCAGGGAGTTCAGTGAAGTATTTAGGATTGGTTACGCAGCAAAACCGACCCCTGCGTGTGCTGTGTACTGGGCAGTGAAGGTTGCTATCACTGTGACAGTAATTAACGTTAACCTGAGCTTGCAAAGAGCCTGAACTGACACCTCTGAGACACAAGCAGTTCTTTAATTTCATTGGGTGAAATTCAAATGCCAGCGGTGATACTTTGCAGGCCAGAGCTTGTAACTTATTGCTTCTCAAAGGTGAATAAGAGGAGAGGAACCATTGTACAGTGACAGGTGTTTTCCTTGAAACTGGGAGAGGAGTTGTATGAAGGATGAAGTTATATTTTCATGAAAATCTGTAGACTGAAGCTGGTGGGTCTAAAAAGAATCTTTAAAGTGTGGAAGTGATGCAACCCCTCTCTCACCCAGGCATGTTTATTTAGAAACCTGGTTTGAAACCGTATAAGAGTTTGCAGTTGCAAAGTAAAACAAGGCTGTAAACTGGTTCCAGCTGTACCCGTAGACTGTAAGTAAGTGCCCAGCAGAGCTGGTAACGCAGGGCAGTGCTGCAGTGGAGAACTACAGCCTCTGTCTCCTCCAAAGGGAGGGTTATTCAGCTTGCAAAACCTCATGGGACTGCGGGTTCACAGCAGCCTGCACAGCCAGCTTCTGCCTGGCACCCCTATTCCCTTGGCTTTCCCCCAGTTTGGCCTGAGGCTGCGCTCAGCTTGGTGCAGGGTCCCATTCTGATGGGTCACAGAGTGTAGCTGAAGGTCAGGGCACTCTGAAGAGCTGAGTCCAGCCTTGCACAGGATGCAGCGTCCCAGGGCGTCCCTGGAGAGGGGGCTCGGCACGCAATGTGCCTGTGCATGAATGGCGAGAGGCAACTTGCTCTCTCAAGGTCATGGTTGTCTCTGAGGCCAAATCCTTGTTGCTTTAGCCTTGCCTTCGTGTACCTGAGATTAGGCACAGGAAGAACTCTTAAGTTAGGGTAGAGCTGGAATAGGCTGCTGAGGGCAGGGCTGGAATTGTTAGTGCTTTAAGTACTTGTCAGACGTCTTGCAGGAATAGTTTGGGTGTAGAGCTGAGCCAGTTCTGGGGTGGGGAGATGGATCAGATAGCTTTTTAAAGGGTGTGTGACCCCAGCCTTGTCCCTATAATGCTCTGAGAATGGGTGGGAAGTACACTTACCCCTAAACTCACCTGACATTAAAACAACAACTATGTCCAGCTTGTTAAATATTTCACCAAAGACTGAGTGTCAGTTGTGCACGTGGCCAAGTCCTTTTGGAAAGGCACCTGAGCATCCCCTGACCAGTGTCAGTGAGGTTGCTGCATTGCTGGGATTGGAGTTAGTGCTGTGGCACAACTGGGTGCTTAGTGGAGCCTTTGATCATCTGCGGTGGTGATCAAAGGGGGTTCTTGTTACTGCTGTAATCTCTTCCATGAAATTGCTCTATTTTGGTACCTCCAAATCAAAGTATCAGAAAATTCTGCCAGCTTGCTGTGAAAGCAGGTGAATCAATGGGATTGTTTCTTCTTTGCAAGTTAGCAGCCTTGTTCAAGTCACACTACAGGAATGAAATGTCCCTAAGGTAAAAAGCCCTTTGACGTTACTGGATGCTACTGTTAGAGTCATAGAAACCAGCAGTTTTTCTTCTCCATGGATGGTACAAAATGCCCTGTGCTGAGATTGTTTCTTTCCCTGAAGGATTATTTCCACCAGCTCACCTGCATCACAGAAAGGGAAAAGTTTATCGTGCCAATCCGAGCTATAGGTGCCCGAGCTATCCTGGACTTTCCTGAGCAGCTGAACTTCTCCATCTGTCCAGTCAAGTACAACTCCCAGAAAACTTTGCTGGTTCGCAATGTGGGTAACCAGGAGGCTCGCTACCGCATCAGCACTGAGAGGTAAAGGAGCGTGTCGTCTTTGTGCAAAACACTGTTACATGATAACATGGTTGGTAACAACAGGGAACCAGAGCATCTGAGCTGCTGTATTGCAGCCATAGCTGCAAACGGGCAGAACATGTGGGTTTTGCTGTTGCTTATAGTGTTTTAAGCATGATGGAACCTGTGATAAAAGTCTGCGTGCTGCAGTGAGGTTTTGTACTGCAATGATGTCTCCAACAGAGCATCTCGCAAGACGGATTCTGTTAGATTGGAAGAGCACACGAAGGAAGGCAACCTGGCTGCCCTTGGGCTGTGTAAGATGCTGCATGGCAGGTGACAGCTCTAGGAGCTCGGTTCCTGTAGACCAAATGCAGTGTTAAGAGATGGGCAAGCTGTGAGCTGGTGAGAGAGACATTTATGAATTTACCAGCAGCTGTGTCTTTATATGCAAGTGCCATAAGAGATCGTAGATCAAAACAATTGTTATTGAGGCCCTGACAAGAACACTGTGTGGTCCAGGCACTTTGTTTTCCAGTAGGTTTGGTCTGGTCCCTGCGACCAAATACTAAATAGAATGAGCTTTTAGGTGGAGATGAGCAGACACTGGCTTCAAATCTGCACCACACCCCAAAGCAGCATGCTCATGAGGGCACAGGCAAAAGATGCAGCATCTGGTGCATGGGTTGGGGGCCTTTTCTTCTAGAGCTTTCTCTCTCCCAGATTTCCTGGAGAGTGCTCGAATCTGTAAGTATCCAGCTTGCAACCTCCTGATCCCGAGTGCCTTCTGAAGTGGTTCCATACCAGTGTCAGCCAAAGACACCCATGCTCTGGGAGGTTGTAAGCACGTGGTGTTCCAGTGGTCCCAAATGAAATGCCTGACATGAGTTGTGTTGTGGACAGCCTGTCCTGCTCCTTCTGGTCTCAGAAGACAGTCCTCGGTTTCCCAGTTGGCTGAATGGGAGAGGGTGATGCAGCTGAAGCGAAACTGATTCAGTTGGCTGGTAATTCGTGGTGGGTTGCTTGGTCCTGGAGGTCTTGGTTTAGGAGCTGAAGTGAAGAATGCAGCAAAGACCAGTGGTCTGACTTGGTGCACCTGAGTTGCTTCAAATTCTTCTCCAGGAAAACAGGGCTCAAAAGGCTACTCTTTACTTTTCTCTTGTGAAAAGTGAGAGTTCAAGCAGGTTCAAGCAGGCTGCAAAAGGAGTATACTCCCCGGATCACCCACAGTAGCCCTGATGTGTTTCTTTCTCTGCGTTGCAGCCCTTTCTCTGTGGATCCCTCCATCGGGACTCTTGGGATTGGTGATGCCGTGCAAGTGACATTGGAGCTTCACCC